GACCAGTCGTGCCTATTTATAAGGGAAAGACTGATAAGTGGGCGCGAAAAACGAGGAGGCCGAAAAATATGGGTACCCAGCTCGTCAGGACGCCTCGATTCTCAAGATGGTTATTAAAGACAAGGATCCGGTGAGATATATTGGATAAAATATGAATTAATGACAGATGACGTCATGGTGGGTTATTGCAAATCTAGAAGATGGCGTCATGGCGGGTTACAAATTGTCGTGCAATAGAGAGAAGAAGATTTTTTCTAAGTGTTGAAGATTGACATGAACCAGTTCAAATCAATCTGGGACCTAATGTTCGAGATATAACTATTAGTATGACCCGCCAGAAGGTACTGGGTTATACTTAAGACGATTCATGAAGCCCCAAGACGACTCCTGGAGATGGCGGGTTAGTTAAGGGCCCAAGGCCCAAAGGGCGACTTAAGGCCCATAGAGATAAACCGCCATATGTGTGTAACTTGTATTATAAGGCAGGAATAGAGATAAACCAAGCCAGACACTGTTTATGAGCTGGCCGGGACACTATGAGCCGTTGGGCGTTGACCTCTGTATATAAAGGGACGACCCTGCGACGGTTCAGGGCAAGTAACATCAAATCGAGAGCTAGGTCAAGCGGATTCGCTCCTTGGTTATCGAGACATAAGCAATCCCACTCAAAATGGGATCGTAGGCTTTACCTTCACCGTAAGGGGACGAACCAGTATAAACCTCGTGTCCTTTGTTCCGATTAACCCATTCTTGCTTCCTAGTTGCGATGGCTCCACGAATAAGTCCTTTAGCTAGGACATCTACCGTGACAATTCCACGATAGTAATATATTCTAACTTTATGAGAATAGCACCTACTTTTATATTTTAGCTCTCCGATATCATGCAAAGTTATCCTCTTCATACCCACAATGTAGTTTTATTTCTCGTTTCTAGTTGGAAGCAAACGTTCGGTGTACGTATAGTCGTATCAGTGGCAGATAGGACTTGAGAGAATATTGATCTTACATTTAGCTCCTTGTGGGTTCGACACTCCATACTTATCACTTCCACCTTTGGGAATTGCTACGATGATTCCCTGCACTTGGGGATTATCATAACCCCCGAGACACTGGTCAGGTGGCAACACCAGATCAGGGGATCGATGTGCCCCTTTAATATTTGTAAATAATAAGCCCGAAGCCCAGTAGCCCCCGAGCCTTAATGCGGGCACGGGTGGCCGAATTAAGGATCGATATCCATAGTAAAATCACAAATTATGTGTAATGACTCTATGTATCGAAGTACTTTACATCATTAATGCTCATATCCGCATTGTACAAAAGTTTGTTGACCGACCATCGGCTTCAACCTCTTCGGCCTGTAGCCGAGGAGTGTTTTCCAACTTTATAAACCATTATAAGGGCAAAGATTTATGAAAAAAAAGGCAATCCGGCCATATGGTTTTATAAACAAAGGTACACAAAGAGATATGTTATATTTTGTTTTAACGTAAGAAACATCTTCAAAAGAAAATAGTCCCGCTATCGGTTCGTTTCTTTGGGTCATCATGCTTATCATGATCATGAAACCTCACCTCCGATCAATGTGGGAGGAAAATATTGAAGATTTAGTTCGGGAAAAGTTCCCGGACTCTATGGTATTAATGAACCAAAATTTTCACTTCCGTCATTGCCGACCAATGTGGTCCTTTAAGATTGCTAGCTTTCGGCTTCACCCGATCTGAGGTACTTACTTGGATGACCCGGTAGTAACAATCACAAAGGTGCTCCCTTTACCACCCAGGCGAACACTCGGGAACGTAGGGGTAAGCACAGGAGCCAGGCAACCCAGCTTGGCCAAAATCTTAAGTCAAATTGATGCATATTTATGGATTTATAACGATGATTGCGGAAGGAGGCCCTCATATATTAAATACAAACGCCGATGATATGTTTATTTTGACTCCGTTGCGACCGTTTATCATTTGAAAGTGGCCCATCATCGGCTTTCACCCCCTTGTAGATGATATGCAGGGTGTTTTCGCAATAACAAAACAACCCTTAGCCGACGTCTCGGTGCCTGAAGGCAGTTGTGTTAGCGGAAAGGGGCAATCAGATATGCGGGATTTATAACTTTCACTTAGTCATAGGAGCTTAAAGTTAGGAGGCCAGTTACTAGCCCCCAGTTAGTGTTCGGCGACAGTCGAGGTCAAGCCGTAAATACTTCGGCCAATGTTATGAACGGACCGTCATTTAACATGGGGTAACCTCTATCGATCTTATAATTTAACACAGTCATCGGATCACTGACCAGTTTACACTTATTGTGACAGTCAGTTTTCGGCTTTCTCCACTGAGGCGCTTAACCATGCTAGCTGGAAGCACGATCGTAGTGGTACTCCCTTTGCACATCTAGCCGAACAAAGTAGAACGTAGGAGGCAAGCACAGAAGCCGAGCAACCCAACTATTGACCAAAGACACAATTCGAAACCGATGCATATAAAGCAATACCCGAGAATGTTTTGCCGAATCTCTAAAGGTGTCTGGCGTTGCACTGCGAGACTTATGCTAGAAACACACAAATAGTTTAAAAATGCCATAGGCTTAAAAACCAAAAGACTTATGCGGAAATTCCACGTCCGAACTAAATCAAGTCAATTGGTGCCAATTCGAAAATTGGTCTAAAAAATTGTGCTTCTATCATGCTTTAACATGACACATCCGATCTCAAGACTGCAAGTGGGTCAAGATCGGACCCAGGCTATCCGGCTATTGACCAAACACTCGAGTCGAGGAAGGAGTGATAGAAAAATACTTTGCAACGAACAAGAAGAAAACACACTTATTATAAAACGACTCATGTAAATTTAAGAGCCCCCTGCTAACATGGGTAAAGGGAGTTTCTTTTAACAAACAACTCACGTGAGCACGGTCGAACCGAACACAAATTAAAAATTTTAAACTTTGAGCATGAAAGCAACTTAGATGGTTAATGTGCTCGGCATCGATGACACGGTCCGAGTTTACGGCGGGACGAGGTCCCACCCCCTAACACTACTAGATAAAAGGCTACTAGCAGCAAGGGTAAATTGGCTGCTAGCAGCGCGGGTACCCGCGCTACTAGTATCGCGCTACAGATAACTAGTAGCAGTAGCGCGCATGCCACCCACGCCACTACTACGTTTGTTAGTAGTAGCGCGGGTGGTACCACGCTACTACTATCTGAACCAGCGCTACTATTATCCTAAGTAGTAGTAGCGTGCACTTTTCCTCCCACCTTACTACTAGCAAATTAGGAATTAAAAAATAAAATTTAGATGCATTATTCCTGGATAGAAATAGACAAGCCCAGTGTAAAATAAACTCATGTCAAGGAACAACATCTCAACTAAAAGAAATCACGACATCCCATTTAACATCAGACGAACACAACCATCATCTACAGGTGGGTACCTTCCCTAGCATTCCACCACCAACCTAAATAGACCACTTCTCTAGATGTATCTACCAAGGCTTTGAGTTCATACGCCGGCGGACCTCCCCCGACAGTGGCCTCGAGGACCTCCACCTCGGCGACCTCCAATGTCGTGATCACTTAGATGATCATCTGTGTGCAGTAGTCACAGGGCTTCACGGTGAAGTCCGTCGCCAAGTGGTTGAAGAGCACGACACCCACTGGGCCACGGTAATCCTCCTCGATCACCCCTGCACCCACATCAGGAAAGTGAAAAGTTGTTGGTTCATGTCCCGTGTCCAAATCTAGTATTGTATTTTCTTTCTTTTTTGCGCATGCACATGAATCAATAGTAAGAGCCGAAGGCCGGTCCTTACTTGTTGCTCGACACGTGAAGAAGGCCAGGTGCCCTCCTTATTGCACAAACGAATCCAAGGAAGACACTGTTGGTGGCTCCGAACCCGGCCTCCGTTTATCTGTAGACAAGGAATAGTTTCAGCTAACAAAGGAAAATGAGAACAAAGAGCAATCAGTAATTCTAAGACAAGAAATAACTTCTGTTGTAACCCGTGCATTGTATTCTATCCCAAGCTAAACTACATAGTATCTGTCGTAGTCATGGTGAACTCGCTTTCATTTTTAGAAAATCATGTATCTGTCATTCAGCCTGGACACGGTCCGGGCCGGTCCGGTCCCGGTCTGAGCCGGCGTTTGGACCGGCCGCCGGCGGTCCGGTCCGGACCGGACCGAGCATACCAACGAGCTGGTATCCTGGGACCGGACCGTGGGGGTGCCAGCTCGGTCAGGCCCGAGAGGACCGAATGGACCGGCCAGCTTTGTTGCCAGGCAGTGTATATTTGTTGCTTTTAGGTCCTATTTAGCTGTTGTTTAGGCATCTGTTGGTTTTGGAGAGTAAAATAAGCAAAAGTACAACAACAACACTATTGTTAGCTACTACCTAGGTTGTGTTCTACTGTTTAGGCATCACATAGTGACAAGCTGACTAATGGATGTAATATGACAAGTCATCAGTGATCACTATAGTTTTCAGATAAGTTTCTTCAGACATCAAGCACTGGACTAAATTCAGACAGCCACAAACAACTAATTTGAACAGCAAGCACTGGACTAAATTTGGACAGCAAGAATAACTAAATTTGGACATCATTTCCTTTGTTTTTTGGACATCCACAAACTGATTTTGACACGAAAGATGTCACAAATCAGGTTAAGCACAAATATCACATCCACAAACATAAGGACTTATCATCATTGAATGACACGATTACAAACTTGCAATAACAATTCCAAGTCCATGGCAATTGACAAGTTGAACATAACACAAATGAGAGGTTCATCTCCAAGCTAGCCGTGACAATTCATAGTTCATGACAAACATAACAGAAATGCAAAAGTAGCCTTCACATGAGAAAGATCACTTTGACATTCATCTCCAAAATAGCAACATCAACATCCACATGATGAATGTCTACAAGTAAGATAAGCAACATTCACATAAATAATATTTGGTATCGTATGACAAGTGAAACATGTAGGAAGAATAGTTACCAATCGTTGATCTCCTCCACCACAGTGGGTAACTTGATGTTCTCAACATCATCCTCTTCATTCTCATCCCTCGGCTACAAGTGTGGGAGTTAGACAAATGCTCACATCACATACAACAAGACCAAAAAAGAAATAAAGCAAAGGTAAGGAAAAGATGGCAAACATACCACCAGATTCAAGTCAACATGAGCACCCTTGATATAACTTGCACCACAAACTAATGCCTCCACCATAACTGGTTTTAACGAACTCCTATAGTCATCTAATACGACACAAGTTGACAAACTAGTTTGAGGATGAGAAGTTGACAAGTTTATATCCAAAGTTCAATAGTATGAGTTGACATACATAAAATCCTTCCGGTCGTGCTGAAGGTAGATTCCGAAGACATGGAGGTAGCCGGGATAGTAAGGAACCTCTTGGCTATCTTGGCCAACATTGGGTACCTTGGAGCATTGTCTTTCCACCAACCAAGAAGATCAAGAGCTTGTTGCGAGGGGCAACCTCATCCTCTAAGTAGTTCCTCAACTCACTCTTTGATATTCTTGTTGAACGGGACAATAAGAAGGACTCGTACCCAGCTTGAACCGGGATACTAGGAATGTTTGTAGAGGAAGATGAGCTTTCTCCATTTCCAGCTCGCTTATTTTGAGCAACACATTTGTCATACAAGGCTGCCAACTCTTTCTCCACAGTTTTGATCTCAGTCCTAAACCTCGTACTTCCTTCTCCATATAGTTCTCCAAAGGCCCACTCTATGTAAGCCATCTTGTACCTAGGATCAAAGATGATAGCATTGGAGTGAACTAGAAAGCATATGAGTAAAAAAACAGCAACCACGGGAGTAAAAACAGCAAGCATGTGTACCTAGGATCAAAGATGGTTGCGATCACCATGGCATTGTTCTTTTCTTCCCAATATTTGTAAAACTTCTCCAACATTGCTTCACCCATTTCCTTGTAGTGGTCCTGTCACTAGCCATTGCATGTTTGATTGCAAGCTTGACACCAACAATGTATGGGTAGAAGATGTTTGAAGTGGGATATAAGCTTCCTGAAAATGCTTTTGTCACCTCAGCCAAACTCTCAAGTAATGGAGAGATAAGGTCATACATGTCCCACTCTATCTTTGTCGGCGCCCAAGCATAGTTGGCATTCGAACCAGCATGAGAGGTAAAGGCTTCCTTATATCCACGGGCAGTGCTAATCATCTTAAAGGTTGAACTCCACCTTGTTTTACAATCCAAGTGTAAATGATTACCAACTTTGACACCCAATCTTTTGCAAGTGGCAACAAAAGCATGGAGACGAGAAGGTGACCTCTTGAAGTACTTCACCGTCTCTCTCAAGCTGTTTATCAAATTATCTAAAATCGTTGTCCCATCTTGCACGACCAAGTCGAGGATGTGTGCACAACAACGGATAAGAAAATATTGGCCTTCGAAGTCCTTACCTACAAAAGACAATTTTTATATGAGCAAAAATAGCAAGCATGTGAGCACAAACATCAAACATATGAGCACAAAGAGCTTCTATATGAGCATAGCAACAAGCATATGACCAAAAACAGCAAGCATGTGAGCAAAAATAGCAAGCATATGAGCACAAAGAGCTTCTATATGAGCATAGCAACAAGCATATGAGCAAAAACAGCAAGCATGTGAGCAAAAACAGCAAGCATGTGGGTAAAAACATCACGCATATGAGCATAAATAGCTTCTATATTAGCATATTCAGCAAGCATATGACCAAAAATAGCAAGCATATGAGCAAAAACAGCAAGCATATTCAGCAAGGATAGAATCATACCTCTCCGAAACAAGAACTTGGCCTTCAAAGCATCGACCGCACCATCATTGTTTGAAGCGTTGTCAAGTGTGACGGACATAATTTTGGTCTCAATATTCCATTCTGTCACAACCGCATAGAGAGCATCCGCAATGACATTTCCAGAGTGAGGAGGATCCAACTCTATGAAAGCAAGCACACAGGTTTGTAAGTTCCAATTCCCATCTATATAGTGTGCAACCACACACATGTAAGATAAGGTTTGGTTGCTTGTCCACAAATCTGTAGTTAGACATATGGAGCTCACACCCTTTAGGAGAGATTTAAGAACCTCTTTTTTGTTCTTGTAACCCCTCATGCACTCGGCTCGTATTGCCTTCCTTCCAATGGGTTTATAATTTGGAGTCATGCACTTCATCAGAATGTTGAACCACTCATGTTCAACCATTCTAAATGAATACTCATGCACACATATCATCTTAGCAATAAGCTCCTTGATGATTCCTTGGTTGTACTCAATAGAGGGGTGCATTGTTGGACCACTTGTTGGACCATTGATTTTGCGCAGTTCAAGAGTTGTTTGGATGGCATTCCTAGCGATCTTGTCCCTTAAACCTTCACATTTTAAAATATGCCTTCCAATAGTTGAGGTGCTGCCACCTTCCGTATACGCATACCTCTTTTTGGGACAATAATTACAAACAACCTTCAACACAATCTCTCTGGGATGCTCCATCAATGTCTCTTTGACCTTGTGAAAATGGGCCCAAACATCAGATGACATCCTAACAGGAGCATTGGCTCTTGGCCTCTTGTTCTTTTTCCTTTCTCTTGCCTCCTCCTCACTAGATACAACATGCACAAGTGATTCCTCGGACATAGTATCACCTTCTAGTTCATCAGCTGATTCCTTATACCCTTCTGATGTATCATCATCCGACATATCAGCACTCGGTTGTGGCGGGCCTATAAATAGATTTTGCTCCTCATATTCCTCATCGTCCTTGTCCTTGTCCTCATCCATGTCCACGTCCTCGTCCTCATCCTCCTCCTCGTCCTCATCCTCCTCCTTCTCCTCTTCATCTACCACCTAACACACATGAGCACACAAATAAGCATCAAGCATCACCTATATGGTTATATGGAAATATGGCTACATCAAGCATCAAGTAAAGCAATCTTACAATAGTAGAGGCAGCGGCATCCGCGGCACGCACGCCGGCACCGGTGCGGTCGGGGAGACGCCTCGGAGGTGGAGGGTGTTTTTTTAACCTACAAATCAACTCTCCCGTTGGGGCATTGGGAAAGTCTTTCGCCTTCCTAATCTGCACCTTAGGCTTCCTCTTCTTCCTCAGAACCAGCGGAGGCAGCGCCGAATCTTGCCTAATTAGGTAATTCACGCTTTTCTCCTTTGCCTTCGCCTTCGCATTCTCCTTACCAGCACCCTTTCCCTTCTCATTCTCCTTCTCCTTCACCATTATCTACAAAAAACAGCACATAATATCTGCAGTCAGTACATTAATCAAGCTCAAATAATTCATCTTCTTCTTTTTGTAGCATAGAAAATCATCTAGTACTAGTGCAAATAAACATAATTATCTCCTGACCATTATCTACAAAAAAAATAGCACATCAAACAGGTACAAATCATGGCCGTGGAGGCTGAAATTTATATTGATTAAAATTATTTTCAGCTTGTTAGATACTCCTGGAGTACATAATTATTTTCTGCTTGTTACATACTCCTGGAGTACATAATTCTACTTGTATTTAGGGAGTTCACATTTAGTCTGAATTTTATATGGGTACATAATTCTACTTGTATTTAGGGAGTTCACTCACAAAATTTCATACATGGCCTACTTGATTTAATATTTTGGGTATCCTTTACAGGTAGAGACATCAGACATCTGATATTTGGATTCAGAAAAAGAGAGATCCCAACTTTGCAGTGCCCCCCGTATTACTATCAGGTCAAGCAACACCTGGTGCCTATATGCCAAATCATGGGAATGCATCTTTCAGTGCTACAGCTCAATCCTCTCATGCACAATTCCCACGCATGTACCATCCGCAGCAGCCTCCCTCAATCGTAAGCCCACATCCCATGGTACAAGTTAGAGAAATATTACCTCTTCCTCTTCGTGGCGCTCGGTGAGGAACCAGGGAAGGGCGGACCGACGGCGTGCTGGCCTTGCTGCCTCCCCACGGCGTGCTGGCCTTGTTGCCTCCCTGATGTACACGTGCTCCTCCAGCTCGGACTCGGACGAGATGGCGCCGTCGATGAAGGGAGAGGCCGCGGGCAATGGCGTCGTCGCCTTAGGGTTAGGGTTAGGGATCGAAGTAGAACAAAGGATTCAGAATAGAGGAGGAGGCGCTGCCGAATCGAGCGAGGAGGGGAATGGAACGAGGGGAGGGGGATTGCTCGGCTCGGGGGCTCGGGGCCTCAATGTGTTAGACAGTTGATGGGCCTTGGGCCATCGGTCGGCCCGGTTAAAGACCGGACCGGACCGAATTTTTTTCAGTCTCTTTTGCTGGGCTCGGACCGGCTTATTTTCCTATTGGGCCTGGACCGTACAGGCCGGTCCTAAATGGGCCACGAACAGGCCGCAAAGCCCGCTCGTGCCGTCCAGGCTAATCTGTCATGTTCCTCCGCAGGTTTACACCGGGCTCATTTGGCTCTGGAAACGTAGCATTCTCACCGGCCAGCATCATTACAACCGAAGACATCACCGGCCTGTTCCTAGGCTGCACATCGACGCACATGAGAGCAACTTGTATGCACCTCTGCACCTGGCTGTGATCGCAGTTGCTGCCCATCGCATCGTCCAGGACCTCCGTGCTCCTGCCTTCCACAACATCCACACCTGAAATATGGTCAGCATCATCATCATTAGCAGCACAACTAACCAAAGATCTCCCACTGGTGGCAGCTAATTAATTTATCATGCTGGCACTTACATAACTGTAGAGGTTTAGATCAAGCTCGCGTCATAAAAGCCTCGGATTTTCTCGCCGGTGATGATTTCCAGCACCATGACGCCAAAGTTGTAGACGTCGTATTTGATTGATAACACGCCGTCCATGGCGTATTCCAGGGACAGGTAACCATTGATGATCGACCGCCACCTCACAAGTTGTTGCTTTGCAACAAATTGATGAACTGAACTGACCAAATATGAAGGTATCCAAGCTGTTGTTTTGCATGAACTCGTAAACGAGCAACCTCTCATCGGTGTCGATGCAGTAGCCGAGAAGCCCGACATCTGTTTTTTGAAACAACAAAATAAATTATATTCTTAGTGTATTACCCTAGTTAGTCAGAAGTGGGCAATCAGTAGATAAATGTATCTGAATAATAGATGTAAATGAGGCAACAACCAAAGTTCCTTCTTGAAATCAGATAAAAAAGGTGGAAGATATGAAGTGCAGCAACGGCTTTTGCGATATGAGAAACGCTAGCTTGTATAAAAATCATTATGTAAAATATAAAAAGTTAGAATGTGTGGTTACAAGTTTGCAGCTATTCGAGCAATTCAAATCATTAGTAATTAACCTGGCCGAGGATCCTCCTAAGATATATAACATAGTAGGCTCAAGCAAT